AGCTGCGATTGAAGGGCTCGAGAGGCTTTTCGTCGTAGGAGACGTTGTTCTTGAGAGATGCGCTTCAGCTCGTTGTCTATGTGTTGGGCCTCCTCAGGGGAGGCATCCCACTTTCCTTCGCGTAAGTCTGCACGTTGATGCAAGAATAGCCGCCGTGCTTTGCAGTCTGCCTGCCGCTGCGCATCACCGTCGAGCGTCGTCATGCCAAAGTGAGTCTGTCCTGCAGTCGTTATACAATCCTCCAGAAGCTCAAAAATCTCATCTGGGGAGCCGTACTCTCGCAAATAGTTATATGCGCCTCGCTGATCAAGTTGTTCCTGAACCGAATTGAGAAACCTAGCTTTGTTCTGTCCACGCTGAAGAGCTGACATCATCTTATCACGATCCCATCGAAGACGGGTCTGCGGAGCAGTCGGTCCAATAGTGTGCTGCGAATACCACAAAGTATCCTCTAATGGTAGGTGATCTCGTGGACTGGGGCCCTGGAACGCCTGAAGCCGAGCACCGAGTCTGTGTAGCACATGTGCGTGGGCAATTGAGTCCTCCATGCCCGTGGGGATGAACAGATAATCAATGCGAGACTTGCCACCATCCTGACCGAAAAAAGTTGGAATAACTGATGTCCCACGTGCGTTGGTCGCCGTCATCTGATGAGTCTGAAGTAGTTCGCGCAGCTGCTCACCTGCTCCTCTGCGCAGTCGCTCAGGTGACGGGGGTTGCACCACCACTGTCTCGATAAATGCTCCTTTCCCTCCTGCTGGAATGCCAATCCCGTCGTTGGCGTCACAGTATATCACAGGCGTCGTTCTCTGCGGCAGCGCAGAGAGAACAGTGCGGAGCCATTCAATAAGAACACGAACCGTTCGAAGATACAATGGACGATGCTGGAGACGAGACGGCTTCGGTGGGAAATACACGCTGATGCCACAAATATCACTCCGTCCCCGTTTCACCCTGACTCCAAGACACCGCCCTTTGGCCTCCACAGGGGAAGCCCACGTCTGAATAATATGCTGCTCCTGAAACCCTTTGCCCAAGATGACCGAACACCCCGTACTCGAATTACTTAGAGGAGCCGATGGGCCGAAGGGAGCCTCGATCACTAGACGTCCCTGCACTCGACGACGTAAGACGACGCTCCCAGAAATTTGCTGCCTCCTGTCCACCGCTTGAGTTCCAGCCAACAAGAACAGGTCGAAGTTCGATGTCTCCACCACCACTTCTTCAAGCCTATCTCCCGTACATGACTGAGGATTCCACCCCAAGAGACGAAGCTGTTGCTGTGCCATCACCGCCCTGAAAGGAGCGGCCGCAACTGGGGCATGTGTGGCCCCTTCACGATATACAATGAAGAAGAGAGTCCGCCCCTGGAATAGGGGTCTCGATAGAAAGGGGCTGAGGAGGAGGAGGAGGAGGAGGAGGGGGAGGAGAGGGAGGAGGGAGGAGGGAGGACGGAGGAGGGAGGAGGGAGGAGGGAGGAGGGAGGCGGGAGGAGGGAGGACACCGGCGTGGACCCCAGACACTGACTCTGCTCGGGGGCGCGCAAGCATGAATCGGGGGAGGTGCCCTCTCCAAAATGCGGCCCGTGCCGCCTCGTTCGGCGGCGGGAATCCGCGATTGCCCGTGGAAACGGGACCCGTCGCTAATCCACGCCGCCTTAATCCATGTTTGCGATCGCCCGATCTGTGCAACATACGTCTGGGGTGCAACCCGCGTTGCCCCCCGGCAGGTGCGGACAAGAGCGGAGGAGGGGCGACGACCGCAAAGGCAGGCGCGCCCCCATTCGCGCCCGCGCGCCCTCCCCGAGCAACTTCCCGGCCTGGCCGGCGCGTGGCGCTGGGGCGCTCCAGCGGACGAGGTCCAAAACGCCCGGTCCCGCGGCCGTTCTGGAAGATCTTGGGGCTGTCTCGGGGGGGAAGGGGGGCTTTGCACCCGATGGAAGCCCGATGTCTGTTCGAGGGAGGCAGCTGGAGCCGTCGTGGCGCCTGAGAGCGAGCGGGGAGAGCGAGCCCGTCCGTGCGCACCGCCACGCGCGCGCAGAGGCCAGAACACGTCCGCGCGGCCCCCCTCTTGAGGGGCAGCGCCAGGGGGGAGTAGCTCAGGGGGGGAAACATCAGTCGGGAGTCGGCGATCCATCGCCGACGTGTCGGCGATCTGCCCGGGACAGGGGATCCGCACGCTCTTGGGCGAGGTGGGCCAATCGGGCCTCCATCGGCGATCCGTGGGCGATTGGGGGTCGCAGCGCTCTCCCCTGAGCCCATCCCTTCCGAACGTTGCCCCTGAGCTCCGAGGAGGTGCGATCCACGGGGGCACCATCGTGGTGGGCCCTGCCGTGTGAGTAGGGAGCCACATGCGAACCCTGCCCCCCTACCCCCCCAGGAGTTCTGAGGGGTAGGGCGGGGTTCATTGCGCTCGGGACCTCCCGAACGGAGTGAACCCCACCCTCCCCCTCAGAAATCGTGGGGGGGGTACCGTCATCGGCCTGACCTAAGGAACGATAAGTAAGGAACGAACCCCCTTGTTTCAAAGGAGCCACGCATAGGGAACGATACCTGAAGCATGCGAACCGAAGGAACGACCGAGCCCCTTTTGAATAGTAAGTGTTCCTTATCCAGGCCGCTCACTGTAGGGGTAGGGTTCGCAAGTGTCCCCCATGTGAGGCCCTGTCGCGGAGGACCCGACCGGGAGAAAAACAGCACCCGGCGAGGCGCGGCCGCCCGGGACTCTTCTGCCGTGCGGGGCCCCAGCGCCCTCGTGCGCCTCGGTGCGCACGGGTGGGCACAACGCGACCGGCCAGGGCTCTCTTGAAGGGAGGAGGGGGCGAGCAGGGAGGAGGGAGGGGGCGAGGAGGGAGCGAGCAGGGAGGAGGGCAGAGCGAGGAGCGAGGAGGCATCGAGGAGCGAGCAGGGAGCGAGCCATGGTCGAGGGAGTCCCAACAAAACTCCGGCGCCGTGCTCGTCCACACAACGCCCTATGCCCCGCGAGGCCTGGAGCCTCTCGCCAGGACAGGCCCTTCGTCCGGAGCGCTCCTCGGACGGCAGCGGGGCCCGGCGAGGGCGGGGCCCTCACAGTGGCACAACATGATCGACCCACGAACCCGGAAAGGAATATAGAAATGTAACGCATGGCAGCGTTTTCAAAGACACCTGATTGGGTGACGGGCAAACGCAATGCTGATTGTATCGATATTGATGTACCGTGCCGAAGTCTGTGCTGTGCTGCACCGTGCTGAATTGCGATGTGCCATGCCGCGGTTGTGCTCTATAGCGTCGTGGATCGAGTCCTCCTTTGCATCCGAGTCCTGACCGAACTGATCTGGATCTTAAGCTCGAGCAGCCTGAACACATAGTATCTGCCGCAGAACTAATTGACAGGGGGACATGCCAGGAGGACGCGCCGCGGAACGTCTCAAGGGACGCGCCAGGCGACATGCCAGGGGACGTGTCATGGGGACGCACCGCGGGACGTGCCAAGGGGACGCGCTAAGGAACGTGCTGGGGACAAGCGTTTCGCTCGAGACATCCTGTCTAAATCCTCATTCTAGACATCCGCCTGAGCGACCTGGACACGTGAAAACAAACGTTTCGCTCAACACCTCCTCAACACATTCTCATGCTAGACATCCGCCTGGGCGAACTGGACACGTGAAAACAAGCAGTTCGCTCGAGACATCCTCAACACATCTTCATGTGAGACGTCCGCCTGGGTGACCTGGGCACGTGAAAACAAGCGTTTCGCTCGAGACGTTTTCAGCACCTCCTCATTCTAGACATCCGCCTTGGCGACCTGTACAAGTGAAAGCAAACGTCTCGCTCGAGACATCCTCAACACATCTTCATGTTAGACATCTGCCTGGGCGAACTGGACACGTGAAAACAAGCGTATCTCTCGAGACATTCTCAAAACATCCTCATGCTTGGCATCCGTCTGGGCAACCTGGACACGTGCAAACAAGCATCTCGATCGAGACTTCCTCAACACCTCCTCATTCTAGACATCCGCCTGGGCGACGAGGACGCGTGAAACCAAGCGTCTCGCTCGAGAGATCCTCAACAAATCCTGGCGCTTGACCTCTGCCTGGGCAACCTGGAGGCGTGAAACCAAGCGTCTCGCTCGAGACATCCTCAAGACCTGAGCACGTGAAACCAAACATTTCACTTGAGAGATCCTCTAAATTCTGGTCCCCAGGAGAGGGCAATCCATAAGACAAAACAAGCGTTTCGCTCGAGACATCCTCAACAAATTCTGAAAACAAGCGTTTCGCTAGGGACATCCTCAAAAATAATTCCGCCGGCCCACCTCGACCTCGATATTTATCAGGGAATCATTCCGCCGGCCCACCTCAAGTCAGGTCCGGGGGTAAACATCTAAAAGAGAACCCTGGGCCTGAGCCCTTTCCGGGAAAAAACGGGGGCCACCGAAACAAGAGTCCGTCGAGGTGTTTCACGACGGGAAGGAGGTCGGGAGCGGCCAAGAGGGGGGTGTCCAAGAGGGGGGGGTGCAAATCATGACCGGCGGCATGTGCGCGGCCCAGCGGGGGGACCAGGGACGTAATAAAATAAGAAGAGGCGCCATGAGATCTGGGAAAATACCATGGCCCCCGCCATGATATCCACCCCCCCCTAGTCATCACCCCCCTCTTTTCCGCCCCCGACAGGTGGGGGCAAGAGAGGGGAGGAGTCGGGGGGGGGCAGGGAGGGGGGCGAGGAGTCCGGGGGAGGGGCGCCGCGGGGCCCGGCGAGGGAGGGGGCGAGGGGCGAGGGGTCGGGGGGAGGGAGGGGCGAGGAGAGCCAGGGGAGTCCAGGGAGGGGGGCAGGAGGGAGGGGGGGAGGGAGGGAGGGGCGAGGAGGGCGAGAGGGGCGAGGAGCCAGGGGAGTCCAGGGGAGGGGGCAGCGGGGCGCAGCGAGGGAGGGGAGGGGGGGTCGGGGCAGGGGGGGGGTGGAGCGGCGGCAGGGGAGGCGCGGGGCCGCGGCCCTGCTCTTGGGGGGCGGGCGCCGCTCCCGTTCTTGCTGAACTCCGCTCCGTGCATCACGATCTGTGCGGGGGGGGGGGGGGAGGGCGAGGGGGGGGGAGGGCGTTTCTCGCTCCTGTCCTCCTGCTGTCCTCATCCTCCTCTGTCCTCCTCCTCCTCCTCCTCCGCCTCGCCTCTTCCTCGCCGTCCTCTTTCTCCTCCTCTCCTCCTCCTCCTCCTCCTGCTCCTCCGCCTCTCCACCCCCTCCTTCTCTTCTCTTCCTCCTGCTCTCCCTCGTGCTCCTCCTCCCATCCTCCTCCTTCTCCCCCTCCTCCTCCTCCTCCTCCTCCTCCTCCTCCTCCTCCTCTTCCTCCTCCTCCTCCTCCTCCTCATCATCATCATCTCATCATCATCATCATCATCATCATCAATCATCATCATCACATCATCATCAGCACCACCACCACCACCATCATAATCAGCACCATCATCATCATCATCATCATCATCATCATCATCATCATCATCATCATCATCACTATCACCATCACCATCACCATCAGCGTCACCGTCATCATCATCATCATCATCATCATCATCATCATCATCATCATCATCATCATCATCATCATGATCAGCATCGTCAACATCATCATCACCATCATTATAAGCAGCATCGTCAGCAGCATCATCATCACCATCATCATTATCGTTATCATCATCATCATCATCATCATCATCATCATCATCATCATCATCATCATCATCATCATCCACCACCACCACCCTCCCCTCCTCCTCCTCGTCCTCCTCCTCCTCGTCCTCCTCCTTCTCCTGTACGTTCGTCACATCTCCTCCTCCTCCTCCTCCTCTTCCTCATCCTCCTCCTCCTCCTTCTCCTCCTCCGTATTATACCCGATCACACCCCTGCTCGTTCTTATACCCTGCACCCTCCCATTCCTCATCCTCCAAATATGCCTTCCGCTCTCCTTCTGCACGTCCTCCAAGACGCACGGGTTCCCCTCCCGTGCCCATGCCTCTGCCTCCTCCTCGTCGACCTCCGCCTCGTCCTCAATAGTGTCTCCTTTCCGGCTTCTAGATATACCCCCTTTCTCATCATCGTCATCCTCCTCCATATCCTTCCTGCTCACTTCAGCCTCATCATCATAATCATCATCCCCACCACCACCACCACCATCATCATCATCAGCAGCACCATCATCATAACCACCACCACCACCATCATCATCATCATCATCAGCATCATCATCAGCATCATCAGCATCATCATCAACATCATCATCAGCAGCATAATCATCATGACCATGACCGTCACAAACATCAACAACATCATCATCACCATCAGTATCAACACCAGCATCATCATCAATAGCAGCATCATCATCAGCATCATCATCGTCACCATCCTCATGATCAACACCAGCATCATCATCACCACCATCAACATCACCACCACCACCTTCAGCGTCATCATATTTTTCACCAGCAGCATCAGCATCATCAGCATCAGCATCAGCAACCCCATCAGCATCATCGTCATCATCAGTATCATCATCATTATTACTATTAGCAGTATCATCATCAGTATCATCATAAGTATCATCATCATCACCATCGTTATCATCATCATCATCATCATCATCATCATCATCATGCTCATCTGCATCCTCATCCTCATCCTCGTCCTCCTCGTCCTCCTCATCCTCCTCATCCTCATCATCCTACTCACCATCATCATACTCATAATCATCATCAGCAGCATCATCATCAGCGTCATCATCATAACTATCAGCATAATCAGCATGTTAATCAGTACATTCATCATCATCCTCCTCATCATCATCAGCAGCATTATAATCCTCATCACCATTACCATCACCATCACCATCACCATCCTCATCATCATCCTCATCCTCCTCCTCATCCTCATCCTCCTCCTCCTCCTCCTCCTCCTCATCATCATCATCATCATCATCATCATCCTCATCATCATCATCATCATGATCAGCATCGTCAACATCATCATAGTCACGCTCCTCAGAAGTATTGCCTTCCGTCTCCTTCCCTATTCCTGATGTGTGTCATGCCGCTGCTCCTCGGTCTCCTCGTGCTTCTCCTGTTCCTCCTTCTCTCCTGCCGCCTCCGCATCCACGTCCTCCTCTTGCCCCTCCTCCTCATCATCATTCAACTCCTCATCACAAGCATTATCACAACCATCGACATCACTACCACCACAATCAGCGTCATCATCTTTTTCATCAGCAGCATCAGCATCATCATCAGCATCAGCATCAGCAACCTCATCACCATCATCATCATCATCATCAGGGTCATCATCATTATTATTAGCAGCATCATCATCATCATCATCAGTCTCATCATCACCATAACCAGCACCAGCACCACCATCATCATCACAACCAAGATCATCATCATCA